TGGGACCCCTGCCCTTCCTGCTCTTTTCAGCGGTGAGTTTTAACAAGGGTCGGGTCAGAAGGAAGAGAGGGGGGAAAAATAACCCAGACTCTTCATGTATATTTGTATGTATATATGTATGTATGTATGTATGTCTTTTAAAAATAGGACAACAATATCCCACCAATCAAACCAAATCGTCTCTTATGCGGGAGGGGAGGGGGAAGCAGCGTCTCCTTTTTTTGGGTCTGTGTGTTTGGTTTGGTTTCGGTTTCTCAACAACAAACACCACACAACAACAACCACAAAAATAGGAAGGCTCTAAAGAGGGTGCCCGCCCCCCCACCCCCTCCCACACGTAGTGTCAGAAGAGAAAAAACGAAAACCTTGCTTCTGAATGCGTAGCCAGCCCCATCGCTTGGTTTCCTGTTTGTCTTTAAACCCCATCAAAATACCGCCCCGAAAAACAATATTTCTATTGACACCGAATGGGTCTGTCTGGCGTTCCTTTTACCTGTTGAGGTAACCTAAATTGACCTCGTGGCGCATGTATTTGCTGAGATAAGTGAAGAGGCTTGCTCGCAAAAAAAAAAAAAAAAAAAAAAAAAAGCACCTAAGGATATTAATGCGCACCTTTCATAACCCTCCTCCATTCATTAGATATGGTTCCCCCCTTCCCTTCTGAAGGCTGTTTTTTTCCACGTTCCCTTCACCCCCTTCAAGACCCCCCAAATCCTTGTCATTTTCTTTCTAGCCTGTCTTGGTGTAGAAGAGTGATGAATACACATCGTGTGTAAAAGCGCCACACCATCGGGATTTTGAGGAATTTGCCTATGGTGTTAAAGGGAAGGAGCAACTTACAGACAAACTGAGAGAGAGAGGGAGAGGGAGAGAGAGAGAGAGAGAGAGGGAGAGGGAGAGAGAGAGAGAGAGAGAGCGCTGGAGAGAGAGAGAGACTGAGAGAGAGAGGGAGAGGGAGAGAGAGAGAGAGAGAGAGGGAGAGGGAGAGAGAGAGAGAGAGAGAGCTCTACCTACCGACAGATACAAGAGAAGTCAAGAGCATTAAGAGGCATAGAGCTACCGTATATACACTCAGGCACTATGAAACGTCTTTGAGCGCTCATTAAAAAAAACAACCCACCCTCACATCAGGACTTTGTACAGTCCAGGGAGAGTCTAGCGGTAGTCTCTGAGAATCCAAGACTTTTTTTTTTCATGCGAAAGTCATGAGCTCCTACTTTGTAAATCCTCTTTTTTCCAAGTACAAAGGCGGTGAATCGCTGGAACCAACTTACTACGACTGCAGATTTCCACAAAGTGTAAGCAGGAGCCACGCTCTGGTGTATGGTCCGGGCGCTACGGCTCCCAGCTTCCAACACCCTTCCCATCATGTCCAAGAGTTTTTCCACCACGGAACCTCCAGCATCTCTAACTCTGGATACCAACAAAATCCATGCGCCCTGGCGTGTCATGGAGACGCGTCTAAATTCTATGGATATGAAGCTCTACCCAGGCAATCGCTTTATGGTGCCCAGCAAGAGGCGACGGTTGTACAATATCCTGACTGTAAATCGTCTTCCAACAGTAACTCTAGCGAGGGACAAGGCCATTTAAATCAAAATTCGTCTCCCAGTCTTATGTTCCCATGGATGAGACCACACGGTTAGGACCTTTTTTTTCTCTCTCCTCCTTTAACTGTTTTCCTTTATTTGATATGTCTATTTATATTCATATTGAGATATGGAAAAGATAGACAGAGCTGCAAAGCATGAGAAAAAGGGGGCAGTTTTGTAATAACATTTCTTCTTCCTAGGAAGTCCTTTGAAATCAAGCAAGCCAGCAGTTGCTAGAAAGACAGCAAGGTGATACTCGTACTAAGGTTTTAAATCACAATAAAGTAAAACTTGTTTTTTTTTATTGCTTGCCTTGAGGATAGACAATAAGATACAGCTCCCACGAGGTTATTTGCATGTTGATAGTACACTGCTCTTTAAAATGTCATAGAGCTTTTTTTAAACGCTTGGAGACTTAGACTAAAAGGTAGGAACTTGCAGAAGGCAATTATCAACACTTTACATATGTGTGTAAAATATTATATATAAAGTATGTACACATATATATAGAGTATATATATGTATGTATATATAAAGTATGTATGTATATATAAAGGATAGATAGATAGATAGATAGATAGATAGATAGATAGATAGATAGATAGATAGATAGATAGATAGATAGATAGATAGATAGATAGATAGATAGATAGATAGATAGATAGATAGATAGATAGATAGATAGATAGATAGATAGATAGATAGATAGATAGATAGATAGATAGATAGATAGATAGATAGATAGATAGATAGATAGATAGATAGATAGATAGATAGATAGATAGATAGATAGATAGATAGATAGATAGATAGATAGATAGATAGATAGATAGATAGATAGATAGATAGATAGATAGATAGATAGATAGATAGATAGATAGATAGATAGATAGATAGATAGATAGATAGATAGATAGATAGATAGATAGATAGATAGATAGATAGATAGATAGATAGATAGATAGATAGATAGATAGATAGATAGATAGATAGATAGATAGATAGATAGATAGATAGATAGATAGATAGATAGATAGATAGATAGATAGATAGATAGATAGATAGATAGATAGATAGATAGATAGATAGATAGATAGATAGATAGATAGATAGATAGATAGATACCATTAAATGAAAGTTGAACTTAAGGGGAACTTAGCTCAGAGCTTTGGAGTCTGGATGAGGGGGGAAGAGAACATTCTACTATCCTGGACAGGAAAAGATAAAGGGAGAAAAGAAAAAGGACTGAAGAGAACTTTGTTTGTTGAAGTAAACTGCAACCATCCCTCATTTGCACAGAATCCTAACTACTTCAAAGTACAAGTTTCTCCACACACACCCCCCAACCTCAGTGTTTCATATAATTCTGGTTAATTCGAAACATATGAAAGTTAGATTACTAAGCGCTAATTTTAAAGGACGATTTAAGTAATAAAGTTTTCCCCAATCTCCAAGAAGATCCACTTGGCCTTTTAAAGCTTTTAGGCTGTGGCCCAGAAAAGGCTTAAATTAGACAGAAAGTGGGAAAATGCTATTTGTCTCAACTTTGAGCCATAGATCACCTCCCGTCTGTCATAATTTCGAGCTACCAGCTATTTTAGCAAATCCATGATTATTTTCTCTCACCGAGTAAACACCATGGAAAAGGAAGTGTGTGCAGCCAGATTCAGATACAGAATCTTTTTCGGTTGTTGTTATGCATGTCTACTCGTGCAGCTGCTTTCAGATACACTCCCTGTGTATGTGCAACCCATGCACACACGTACACATCTCTAGATGTGTCTCCACAGAGAGAGAGAACACAAACACACCAGGCAGAGGTGGCTAATCCAACAAAAAATGCAAATCCGCAGGGCTCAAAAATAGCAAGAAGCTATGAACATATATTTTGTGAACTCCATTTGCAAAAGGAAACCACAGTTAGACATTGTGCAGAAGAGGAATGGGCTGAGGGAGGGTGGATTAGTAATCACATTTAAAAATAAATAAATAGCTTGTTTCATTTGATTTCACCTCCCAGCTAAAAGCCATCAAGCACTAAGAAGTTGGGAGGATATATTTTAACATTTGCAAAGGGAAGCAAGAGGTGCATATTTTGCAGAAGGAGGGTGGGGTGGGGGAGATGGCGAGGGTTGATTATTGTTATTATTATGAAACATCAACAGCTTGTTTTATTTGATTTCATAACACGAGGGGCTGCAGGCAGAGAGAAGGGAAGACCATCAGGGTCTTTAGGAAAGTTCAGGCAAGGAGTTAAAAAAAAACAGCACAAGAAGAGAGCTAACAAGTTATTTTGTTTGCGTTCTATAGCTCCCGGAAGACGCAGTGGCAGGCAGACTTACAGCCGGTATCAGACCCTGGAGCTAGAAAAAGAATTCCTCTTCAACCCTTATTTGACACGGAAGCGGCGGATTGAGGTCTCTCACGCCCTGGGACTGACGGAGAGGCAAGTGAAGATATGGTTCCAGAACAGGAGAATGAAATGGAAAAAAGAAAACAACAAAGATAAGCTCCCGGGAGCCAGGGACGAAGAGAAACCCGAGGAAGAAGGGAACGAGGAAGAGGAGAAAGAAGAGGAGGAAAAAGAAGAAAGCAAGGACTGATGTCTCAGCTCCTTGAAGTCTCGTTTTATGGCAGATGATAAATCGAGATGTTTACGACGGTCATTTGCTTTTATAGAGTACAGAATGGAGAGTCTCACACAGCTGTAACTACCTGTCAAACAGTTGTAGCCTTTTTTATTGTCATAGAACTTCCCCCAACTTCCCCCCACTTTTTTCTATATATATATATATATATAAAAATATATACCTATAGCTGCATTTTTGGTTTCATAAATATATAGGCTTTACTGCTACAGCGGAGAGGGGGTGTGTAATCCCAACAGAAACCAATCATGAAGCAAATACCACATACCCCAACAGCAAAGCCCCCCTCCTATCTATCTAGATAGCGATAGAGGTGTAAATGTAGGCATCTTATATATTTGTTTTGATAGGTTTGACTAGTATTTCGTCTCCTCGTTTGCCCCCACACATGAGCCAAGGGGAAGTGTGATATTGCTTTCTGCGAGTCTTAGCTTATTTTTTAAATATCTATATATCTATATATCTTCAGTGCTAATGTCCAGTTATCATTTAACTTGTAGCTGCCTGCCTGACGTGGAAGATTGGAGGGTGACCCCACCTGCCACGACGCACATAGTAGCTATATAGGACCATATCTGTATGTAGATAATACCTACCCGCCCATGTCTCGGTAGGCCAAAACGCGAAGGCTAAGCGCCTACCATTTCATTATTTATATAGGCACTGTTTATCATTTCACTGTGTGAGCACTCGAAATTCTTAATATACTACCTAAAGGGAAACCTGCAATAATAATGAAATCTATTATCAACAAGGGGCTTACATATCCTAAATTTTACTTGCTCAGAATTTATGAAAGGAAAGGAAGGAGAGAGCTGCGTTTTGCCCTGATGCAAGCTACTAAGTAGCATAAACTAAAATGATGCTAATAATAATAAAAAAAATAAAAACCTTGTCATGTACTTTTCACTACCTATAGAAGGAGTCATGCTTTCAAAGTATTTGTAATGCGGTTTTGTTGTATTTGTTGCTGCTTATTTTCTTGGAGAAAAAAAATTCCCAACAACTGAAAACTGCCTAGTGGGGGACGCACAGGATTGTGTTATTTTATTGTGCTTATAAAGTAGTGTAGAACTAAATTGCACTGAATGTATAGTTATCTATTTGTCTTGACTTATCTGTTCATGCAACATGCTCGGAAAGAAAAAAAAGTCATTTGTTTTATGTAAAAGCATAGTTCTGCGTGTTCAAACTCTTGAATGTAGCAATTTCTGCCAGAAGTCAATTTCTGGGCACCGTGGATTTGTATTGTATACGTGAGACATTACGTAAATAAAGAAATAATAATAATTAAAAAAAAAGGTTTTAAAGGGGCTGAGTGGCCTAAATTGTGATGCATTTATTTAAAACTATTCATACACAGAGACAGAGAGACACACGCACACACAGAGACATACACCCCCCACTTCCTTAGGAGATGGTGGTGAGTCCCCAGTAATATTTCATACATTCAGGTTGCTGGCCGCCAATGCTTAGCACAGCTCAAAACCAAGAACCATTTTTAAATTGCAAGGAAGTCGGTATGTCTGATGCTTGGCACAAGGACAATAAATGTGGGTAATTAGACACGGTGAACAAGCCAGGGGGGAAATAAAACCTGTTATTGTCATTACCAATGCAGCATTGTTTACTGATATGCAGCCCTAGCTTTTTTTTTTTTTAATAAACACCATTTTTAGGTTGCAAGTTTCCAGAAATATCCATTGTTAAAATTCTTCTCTTGGTATGGAACATGCCTACACGTGTTCACAGTTCCCTATAGCTCTTCCTTGGGATAAACGGGGAGGGGGGAGCTGAGAGAGACACAGACAGAGAGACAGAGAAAGAGAGAGAGAGATGTTTTAAACCTAAATATATTTATTTTACTTCCCCCAGCCTAGCTGGGAGGATCTGCTGAAAGGTCTCAAAAGTGTAACATTCTGGACTTCCACAAATCTGAAGTACAGCATATCCTTCAGTCCTCCTTTCTTTGCTTAATAACCTAGGAGGCTTCAGAATTTCTCCTGTCATACCTGGGTGCAATTTGCTACTGGCGAGCGATCGTTATAAAGCGATTGAGAGATTGGAAAGAGATTATGTGTACATTAAAATATGCTTTAACCACATTGCGGAGGTACTCCCAAGACATACTTGGATTATATGGGAATATAGTGAACTAAGTGAATCCTTGATAAGCATCCCAGGAAGAAAATTGCCAGGAAAGCAAAGAATAGCTCGTTCAGAAATCCTTTTCATGAATAAATACATACCTCCCAGCTAGCTCTCTTCCACCTGAAAATGTCTAAGTGACACTACATTGAATCTCTCCCAATAAAATCGGAATGTAATGCCTTCAGTTCTACTATAGTTCCCTTGTAAAATGGGAATATTATAAATATGCTCCCATCGCCATTTGGTTGATCCGTGCCCCCCCTCTTCCCTTTTTTCCCCTGTTGATAAATGGACTACATCATAAAGGAGTAGTGCGTATGAAAGTGACGGGTTGTTTACAATGATAGTATAGATAAGAAAGCAGAAAATTCCTAAGACCCATCCCCATGCCCTGAACTATGTCTGGAGAAGAGACTGGGGTTTTGGGACATTCTTTCCCCAAAACACCAAGCTTAAAGGATTTAAATGCTTCAAATAATTGGAACTGTTGGACACTGCTCGTGAGGAGTATCCTGTGAGGAAGAACTAGTTTATAACATATTAAAATTATAGTGATGTGTATATCCAGTCACCCCCCCCACCGAATCCCCCACCCCACATACATAATATATGTACATATGCAAAATGACTATGTAGAAGTGTCATTCTCGATTTCTAGTAGTGGTGTGTGGGCGCATACATAAATGTTCAACACATCCACACAATGCGTCTGCACATGAATATGAATGTGCATATATTTTATTTAGAAATCTAGTGCGGATTGTGTGTGATGCACGCATACAAGCTCTAAACACACACACACACACACACTGGACATAATATATGGAATTCTAGCAACCAGTGCAGATTTTGTGCCTATTATTCATGTTCAAAACCCATACGCGCACACGCAAATGTATGTGCATATGTAAAGAGAATGGATGGATGTGTAAGTCTAGAATTCTAGTGCAGTTTGTGTGTGTGTGTGGGGGGGGGGCTGGTGATAGAATAGGAATCTATCTACCTACCTGCCTACCTACACATCTATCTATCTATCTATCTATCTATCTATCTATCTATCTATCTATCTCTCTCTCTCTCTCTCTCTCTCTCTCTCTCTCTCTCTCTCTTAACTACAGACTTCCTCGATTTTTTAATTCTAGAATTATATACGTACACACAAGCTCTTCAGTCACATTGCATATTCTGGAGTGGACGTATAATCTCATGCTCTCAATTTTTCCATGGAAGGGGTAAGAAAAAAAATAAGGTTCACTGTAGATTTTTCCATTTCGAATGTAGACAAAACTTGGATAGAGGGGAGAGGGTTAGTCATGTAGTAGACTGGTTTATTTTAACAGAAGTATAAACTTCAGGATTATTCCTTTGGCATTTACAGCACGGTAGTTTTCTTCCGCTTCCTTCCATAGAATGAATCTATGCTCTTCACACCTTCCATGGCAATGTTAAAAGAGTTTTTGCAAGATAGCAACTTGGGCTGTTACTAAACTTTTTTTTATTAAGGTTTTGAGGAAGTCATTGCTTAGAAAATACCCGTTCTGATCTTCGCGAGGTTCGAGGAAGAAGGATAACTTATCAGAGTGTTCTGTTTAAAATTTTTTAAAAAGCTGTATGCGCAGTCTATCCATCATATTTAAATCCACATCGCTAAGTAGTTTAGTAGGAACGAACTCTACATAGTGACATTAATCTATCAAAGGGTTAGGAGTTAAATTATTGAAACTACAAGGAAAGCAGTAACTTTGGGGGGGGGGGGATGTTTATGCTGTCTAGTCAACACAACAGAGTCGCATCTTCCGTTGACAACCAGTTATTTTGGTAATCACGCCTCCATTTCCAGAGAGAGAGAAAAAAAGAGAAAAGACCATTTTATGGGGGAAAGTAATTTGAAAGAAGAGACGCTGTTCACAAAGTGGCTTATTCAGAAACGATCATTACTTCAGGAATACTGAAATTAGGCTCATCTCCCCGCCTGAAGTGAGAAATATCCTATTCCACGCTTTTTATTAGCCAATCAAATTTCCTTCGGATCTTCATTTGTGATTTGTGAAAAATGTAATTCCTTAAAAAATGGAGTTCCAGCATATTGCTCATTTTGCCTTAATTTATTATTCTAATCATACCAGCAGCTACATGACAATGCAGCCATTAGGCTAAAAAATTCGTTTAGATTTCATTCTGGAAATGGGCACAGATTCTATTTTAGAGGCAAACGAATTTCTCGGGCGTTTATTTTATTTTAGTTTTAGTTTTGGTAGGAAAGGCAGAGAGACGGGGTTGAAAAAGGCGAGGATGAACAAGGGAAGTTTGAAAAACTAAACTTGGGAAGAAATGAATCCGTCCCCATTTTTTGGCTGCTCAGACCTCCCCTCACCAGACCCCCAGAACTGATCCCCTTTCTACCTTTTCCAAAGAGGCTGGGGATGAAGGATGATTTCCCGAATACTTAATTTAAGAAAAGAACCGAGAGGTTAATTTCCTAGACAAAGCTGATGAATAAAGGGAAGGAGAAATAAATACTGGAGTCATGAGCTAGATGGTTTTCAATTGCGGGGATGAGGAGGGGGGAACGTGTCCGACAGGTTACACGCCGCCTTGCAGAGATAAAATTTCCTGTTCGCTTGTATGGATTCTATTCTCTGTTCGGCTCGTTGGGACATGAGGAGTGCATTGTGTTCTTCTAGCTGTTGGAGTGGTTGCTTCCCCCTCGTAACTTTTAACTACCTGTTATAAAATTTATTGGTGGTTTGTAAAGTGAATAAAGTAATTTCCCTTCCATCCGGTTGTATTACAACCTTTGTGTTGTTCGGATAGACAGACAGACAGTCAGACACACTTAGAGAGAGAGAAAGCAAGCAAACCAAGATTACCTGCAGAATTGAACTCTGGAAATACGTGAGCATGATGTGAAAATCAGTGACTAATGCCTGGACTCAGTTATTGCGACAAAATGTATTTTTCCTCCCAAAGCTTTCTGCCGTGCCTGGCCCTCAAGCTAGCAGTTGAGGTTGTAAAATGTTTCAACAAGGGGAAAAGGGGGGAAAGTGGAGTATTTCCTCGAAACCAGCAGGTCTTATTTTTGCGGCTGTCTATTTGAAGACTTGGAGATGTCTCCACATGATCAAGGCCTCTATCCGACCAACAATACAAAAAAATCCGGCTGGCTCCAAATTAATATTTTCAAGGGTTTACACAGGTCCCAAAATAAAAAAGTGAAAGAAAAATAATATCTCCTGCTGTATAATTCCTGCCCATCCTATTTCACGAGTCAACGAAAAGACCAGACTTTTAGGAGAACAAGTATTTCCTTGAGAACAAGTATTTCTAGTGACAGAGCGATTAGAAAAAATCCCTCAATGAAAGTGTAAAATTGGATCGGAAGTTATTATTTTTGTGGGAAAAAAATCACATCAACTTTAAAGGTCAAAACATGGAAATTTATGGGTAAATACCGCACCAGCTGCTCCAGTTTTGACTCTTATTTGGCGAACTTCACTCATTTAGCAATCTTTATATCCCAAGGCAAAGGGGCGATTAGCTCGTGAAAAAGAGCCAGAATTGGGAGGACCGAAGGAGGGTTGAGGGTAGCCAATTTGTGTGGGCTTTCCAGAGGAAGGGGCCACACCCTTACTTAAGGATAGTGTATCGCATAAGGATGTTACTACACCGTCTAAGTCAGTTAGCTGGGGGGAGCGTGGAGAGAAAAAAAGTGCAACTTATTCCTCTCTTTTCCTACCTCTTGAAAATTAACACCGTTTTATAATGTTATTTTTTAAACTCTCCATTTCACCCCCTTTGATCCCCGTCTCTGCAAAAAACCCACCCTTCCTCCATGTTGATTTCGCTGCGCCGCCCAATTAATTGGCGATAATAAGGATGAAAACATTGCTTTGTGAAGGCCACCTCTCCCTGGCCAAACAAACAAGAAAGGCTCCTAGAGGCACGGGGGCTGGAAAATTAAAATCTTACTGCCGCTCGCGTGTGTATCCATAGAAAAATAGATGCCCGCGTCTAAACCCAGTATTAATTTGCTTCCTTTAATTCGGAGGAGGAGGGTGAAGAGAGGAGGGGGAAAATTACTAATATTAAGAAAGAATTGTATAAACATGGCGACAGAGGCGAGCATTTGCACTCGTCACAAAATGCAACGCATTC